AACGAAGAAAGTTATGAATTACCAGAACTAAGAGGCAAGGTCGAGGATGAAAACAGTTCGGTTTACGGCCTAAGGAACCGATCAAGTATAGGCGACAGAGAAGAAATTGGTGACGACGAATTTCTCCTGAGTGGAAGTAAACTTTCGGAGGATGAAAATTCACCGATTCCCATCGTTTCCGCGGTAATTTAGACCTGGACTATAAAGTTCTAGAATTCGTGATTCAGCGATTTCTCACTTTCTATTAAATTCAGGCAGTCAGCGTTAAAGACGATCCATCACTGCCCTGTATTACGTTTCGATTTTGGGTTCTAAGTACTGTAAGCAAGGACTATTATTAATTCATTCATAATCGGATCAACATTAATTAAATTAACATTATGCTTCAAGTTGTTCACATCTCTTGGAGCAGCAGTATCGGAATTCTATTATTTTCGATCTAACGGTGGCGGTTATTCCATATTTTTTGTGTTACTGGTTTCATACGTTCTTGGGATATGGATGGCTCAAGTACTTCCAAAAGACGAAATCAGGTTTTACAAATGGAAGTTTAGTATGAATCCTGGTATGGTCACGTGTTGAATAGGTGCTTTATCTTATTAGGATAAAAAAAAATTTTATGATTTCTGTATAGGACCATTCAACGTCAAAGAACACGTGCTTATTTCTGTGGCGGCGGGAGCCGGTGGCTTTTCAGCGTACGGCACGGTCAGTACATATTCACTTTGTAAGAAAGTATTCACATAAAGTGATCTCTAGAACTCTCTTTTTTACCATTAACTTAGGATATCATTGCTATACAAGAATTGTTTTATGATCAACATGCGGGATTTTTGATTGGCATGAGTCTTCTTATGAGCACCCAGATGATAGGCTATGGATTAGCTGGATTTTTGAGAAAATGTGGGTCTTTTGAATCAGCAAGCTTTTTTTTTTATTATTATCTTCTTTTGTTTTTCGCATAATTATGACGTCCGTTATACTTTAGTACTCAAGATTAAATGAAAGTATACTTTTGCCATTATAGATCTTGTTCGTCCGGCTAACATGTTGGTATGATGAACGCAGCTTGTTATGACTTTTTGAGTGATCGTTGTTCACTAATAACCAATGTGTTTACCATGCTTTACATTTGATAATCGACCTGTCCATTGCCTTCGCAAAAATATGATCATTAAAAAAGTGGCCATCAAACTTGGTGTTCTCTAGCCTTTTCTCTACCCTTCACGGGAGCATCTCCGACACATCTGACAAACTAAAATTTTTCACCGTTGCCTTTATATCAATGTTTATATGGCAATTTTTCCCACAATTCATATTTCCGTGGCTAACAAGCATTTCACTGCTATGCTTGGTCAAGCCATTTAACAAAGATGCCATACTATTAGGAAGCGGATATCGTGGTTTAGGAATATTAAACTTCTCATTAGATTGGAATGCTATAGGACAGCCAGGTCCACTTTATACTCCATGGTAATTATCATTGCGTCTAGTTTTTCCAAAAGAAATTTATACTAAAACTATTTTAATACAGGTGGGCACAGATTAACTGGTATGTTGGCATAATTATCGGTAGTTGGATAATTGCCCCGATTTTGTATTACAATAATTTTTGGTAAGTCTTATCTTTTATATTTTCATTACTATTATATATTCTGACATCATATTAATATTTTTACCATAATATCTAGGATGGCTAAGTCTTTTCCTTTCTTAGCCACATATTCGTTGAATAAGAATGGAGAACGGTGTGTCACATTAATTGATCTGTTCAAAAGGACTGTTTGTGTTGGGCTTTTTATATTCCATTATTTGTAACCAATCAGTCAATCTATGTAGTTATAATCAAACTGCCATTATAGACTCGGAAACCGGGATGCTGAACGAGACAGCATACCGGGAATATGGACCAGTATACCTAAGTGTAACATTTGCGGTTGGATATTTCTACTCTTTTATATCCTTCACGGCAGCGATATCACACGTGGTCCTATTTTATGGAGAGGAAATTTGGGGAAGATTTAAGGCAAGTCGATCGGAAGAAGTTGAAGATATTCATTGTAAGATGATGAAGAACTACGAAGGTTGTAATAAGAAGTATTGTAAAATATTTATATGACGTGATGATTTTATTATAAGTAATAATACTTTTAAATTAACACTTCAGAGATTCCCAACTCGTGGTATGCGTGCATATTTGTGACCATGTTGGTGATATCCATGGTTTTGTGTTATATATCTGGATCGCATTTACCCTGGTGGGGCTTATTGATCGCCGTTGGTCTTGCGATGATTATGGTGTTACCCATAGGTAAAAATAATTGATTCGTGTTCATAGGTTATACCTTTGTGGTTTTTCGAAGATCTTTCTGAATAATTGTTAAACTTTAATTTCAGGTGTCATCCAGGCAGTTTCTAATAATCAAGTTGGACTCAATGTCATAACAGAGATGATTTGCGGGTATTATTATCATTTCAAAAATCGTGATTATTTTAATTATTTTGGAATTTCATGTCAACGTTTATTTAATCAAAAATATTGAAAATTAGTTATATATTTCCGGGTCGTCCAATAGCGAATGTTTACTTTAAATGTTATGGCTACATGGCGATGCACCAATGTCTATCGTTTGTTTGTGATTTAAAGCTAGGTAAATTTCAATTTTAAATTTATTCAACTTTTCCAGAGTTATCAATATTTTCGTGAGATAATTACTCCTTTCATTATATAGGCCATTACATGAAAATTCCTCCTAAAGCAATGTTTACAGCACAATTGTGGGGCACAATCGTCGGTGCATTCATTAATTATTGGATCTTACAACTGATAATATTGACAAAACGACCCTTTTTAGATGGAACTGTTAAAGACCCGACGGGTCAATGGACCGGTTATAGATCGCAAGTTTTCAATACAGCTTCAATAGTCTGGGGATTAATAGGACCTGGGAGGACATTTGGATCAGTAAGCATTAATTCAATATTGCAAAATATGAAACATGAAACATGAAACAGAATTCTAATAAATTTTTCTTAGGAATCTTTATACAACCCTTTACTGTGGGGATTTCTTATAGGATTTATTGCACCTATTCCATGTTATCTTTTACACAAAAGATATCCAAAAGCATGTTTTAACTTGATCACCGTGCCCTTGATCTGCAACGGTCTAGGCCTTCTTCCGGGGACATATACCAATTTCATAATAACTGGCTTTATTGCTAGCTTCTTGAGCCAGTTTTGGGCATATCACTACTACCCCGAGGTATCAATCAACTCTATATAATTTAATTTGTATTTTTGGTTCAAGTTTGCAATCTAATGTTAATAAATTAAATTCACAATCACTTAGTGGTGGAAAAAGTAAGAGATCATGGTACCGCTTTATTGTTTTTTTTATTTTGTTACGAAAAAAATTACTTATTTTCATCTATTTTTACAGATATAATTATGTTCTTTCTGCTGCATTTGACAGTGCATCGCAAATAGTTACAATGGTCATATTCTTCTTTTTCAGCGTCCTATTCAATGTAAGATATTTGTTTTCAAGTTAAAATATTTTATTTCAACTCTGCTAAAATTTCTACTTGACAGACATCATTTCCCGAGTGGTGGGGTAACGACTATAAATCTCAAGGTGAAAGATGCTTTGACCCACAAAGCTAATTAAATATAAACATCTG